ATACAATATCAATGAATTATTAGGGCTACAAAGAAAAATCAATCAGGGTAAAAGAATGGTGAAAGATGGAAGGGAGTGTATTTTGGAGTAAGGGGATTAGCCAAGACTTTGTTGAGCAGAGATTTGAAGAAAGTGGTGGGAAGAGCCATGCAGATATCTGGGTGAGATTATTCCAGGCAGAGGCAAAAGCAAGACACACACACACTGTTATAATTGACGGAAATGTGAAAATCTCACTCTGTAGAATACATGGGCATCACGATGATAGTTAGCTCTTTAAAATTTGCAGAGAACTTTGACAGCCAATACCCCATTTGATGCTCATTACTATGAGGTCAGGAGGGAGAGGAGGTAATAATTTAACACCCAGCTTACATAGGAGGACACGGAGACACAGAAGGTTTAAATGATTTGCCCGAAGTCATACAGCTGGTTACGGCAGACCCAAAACACAAATTGAGATGCTTGATCCAGTTGGAAAGTTAATTTTCCAACCTCTGCTATCAGGGAAACTCTACTAGCAGTAAAATAGGCCATGACAAGGGCTGACCTTGATTTGGCAACGTCTTCAGAATTTACTTCGAGTATCTCTTTGTTCATCATTACAGTTCTCTTTTTTATTCCTGGATCAATTGTGTAGTCAACGATTTCAGAAATGACATTGATAAGATTGATGGAAGATGTGGGAACAAACCCTGAACATCCCATCCACAGATCAAACACATAATAAAATATAACTCCTTCCATCCAAAGAACAAAGACATACAGCGTGCCTTAGATCTGACAAGTCAGATACTGGTATTTTCTTGACCTCTTTTTCTTGAAAGCCGCTAAGGGAGAAGCAGGTAAAGTAAAATGGCATGTCAGCCAGAAGATGTCTACAGTGCGGGGACTGCAGCTAAAGTCATTTGAAACGGCACCTTGGCAGCCAGAATGTCAGGAAATGCTGGGGCTGCTGCTGGTGTGACTATTTGCCTGTGTGATCTTAGGCTAGTTATTCCCTTTTTCTGGGTCTGCATTTTCTCATCTACAAAACGAGAATGTGGACTAGACCAGGGGCTTTCCGACTGCATTTCAGGAGGTCATGGAGGCTGAGTTGAGATGTGGAAGGAACGGCAAATTATAAAGGATTATTATCGATTGCAGTGATTATTGTTATGCTGTTGCTTGGCACAGTGCTGTCTTTAAGCCCAAAGGAAGGGCGAGCTTTGTGGCTGAGTAAAGCCCATCTTTGGAAGTATAGTATCTGCCATCCTCAGGAGTAGAATCCTGCCTTTGTCTAAAGAAATTATCCTGAAGAACCTGAGAGCAATACATTGACCACCAGCACTGAGCTACCCAAGAGTCAGAATTAAATGACTGATTAGTCAGCTACATCTCTATGCACAACCTTGCATGGGCACGCAAGTTGGAAGAGAGGTCCACAATCATCTAGTATTTGCCAAAGGCTGGCTGCTTTGTATTTCTGCACACAGGCTAGTATCCTAAATTGTTCCCAGCATCTCGAGTGAGAAGAAACTAAGAAAGGTCTGAGATGACCCTGTCCCCATCCTTGGCAGGGTCGTGATAGGCCTTTTGCATTTTGCAGGGAAAAGCTTCCCTGGATTGATGCCCAAGGTAGGGGAGGGTCTGTTGGAGCAAGGTCAGCTGGCTCTATCAGGCCCCACTTGCAGCTGCTACTCACCAATCCGGAGCTCAAAATTGTTGAATGAATGCTTGTTGATCTCCTGTATGCTTTCTGTCAGGGCGAGTGAGAAGTCAGCCAGAGCACACAGATGTCCCCATTTGTCTTCACATTGCTGAAGCAAACATCGGGGGAAGAATTCATTTAATGTGGAACATGCGGAACATTAACATTTCTGCAGCAGAGGCTACAGAAATGCGTGTATGAGTGTATGTGTGTGTGTGTGTATGTGTGTATGTATGTGTCCTAACCCAGCCCTACCTGCACATCCCTTAAGGGAAATGATCATGTGTGTGAGCCCCTGTACTCTCAAGTCACCGGTATCTCAGAACAAGGGAAGACATGAGATTTGCTTGCAAGAATGTCGTATATGTGGGTCATTGTGTTCCTTCTTCCACATCTACATTGGTCTGTTCAGGTTGATGTAGCATCAGTTCCTGAGTGTATGCTCACTGGCATGTATGTGAATGGGTGTGAGTGTATGTATGTACATGTGTGTTGGGGGTGTGTGGGTGTGTGGGTTGGCATGAGTGTATGTGGTATGTGTGTATATGTGAGTGTGTATGTGTGACTGTGTACGTGCATGTGTTGGGGTGTGTGGGTGGGTGTGAGAGTATGTGGGTATATGTAAATGTGTGTGTTAGTGTGTGTTGGGGGAGGATGTGAGTGTATGTGTGTGTATGTGTGTGTGAGGGCATGTGGGTGTGTATGTGTGTGTGTATATGTGCATGTGTTTTGGGGGTTTGTGGGTGGGTGTGAGTATATGTGAGTGTGTGTATGTATGTGAGAGTATATGTATGTGTGCACATTGTGTGTGAGTGTGAGTATGCATATGTGTGTCTGTGTGTGGTGAGTGTATGTGGGTATGTGTATATGTGAGTGTGTATGTATGTGTGTGTGTTGGGGTGTATGGGTGGGTGTGAGTGTATGTGAGTGTGGGTATGTGTATGTGTGTGTGTAAGTGTATGTGGTTATGTGTGTATGTATGTGTGTGAGTGTATGTGAGTGTTTGTGTATATGTGTATGTGTGTATGTATGCATTTCTAGGTATGTGTAGCTTTTCCAATGTAAGAACTGTGTCTATTTCCTTTCACAGTGTGTGTTTAAGAGATGTTACACATTTGCTTACAAAACTCCTAAGAGAAGTGTTGCATAAGCCTCTGGGCCTCTCTGAACTTCATTTTCCAAATCTATAAAAAGGAGGGGATAAGCCTACTTGCCCTTCCCACCTCATGGGTATTGAATGAGATTTTTTGTATGAGAGAACTTTGTGCTCCTATAGAACAGAGGTTAGCAAACAGTTTCAGTAAAGGCCAGATAGCCAATATTTTAAGCTTTGTGGACCATACGGTCTTTGTTGTGACTACTCAATGTTGCCATTTTAGCTTCAGAGGAGCAATAGGCAAAATATAAATGAATGAGCATGGCTGTGTTCCATAAAGTTTTATTTATAAAAACAGAGAGTGGGCCAGATTTGACCTGTGGGCTATAGTTTTCTGATCCCTGCTGCACATGTACTAAATCATAACTAGAATGAATTTCGTCCCAGACAGTCACTCTTGAAGTATTTTACTGTTTTTAGTTGGAAAAAGCATAGGAAGGATGGGAAGAAATTGATGAGAATTCTATTTCCCCAAGTATCTTGGATTCATACTCATTTAACACTAATTGAGGACTAACTAGATGCAAAGCTTTGCTTGAGGAACGTGACATTCTCTTAGATAATTCACCCATTAACCCTGGAAGGTAGACAGTGCTGCTATTTAACATCAGTGCCTGGAACGCAGTCAACACTCCAAAAAGCAGCAGCTGTTATTTGTACGTATGACTTTTGAAAGACAAAACAAAAATAAGAAGAAAGAGGCTAGTATTAGGTGTTTAGTAAGATCCACGACTAAATCACAATAGGGTATTTCTTGGCCCTGATTTTGTTCAAGGGAACAGTGAGGTTCAGAACAAAGTCTAGAAGTTTCTCAAAAAAGCAGCATGGCTTGGTCGGGTGGACTCTACCTGCCTTGGGGGCAAATTCTCATCACATGACTACTCTAATCCAGTCCATCAGATTTTCTCCCATCTTTCCCTAAGACTTGGCGACAGACGTCACCACCGTCGGTGACATGACAACAGCAAGATCCCTGCCATGCACTGTGGCTGAGTCCAAAGAGTCCTTTACCTGTTTTTCAGGTGACAGGCCTGACACGGCCATGTAGGTGCTGCCAATGGTCTTAATCTTTTCAATGTCTTGAAATCGGTCTTCACCAAGCAACTGAAAGAGAGCCAGGCAATGGTGTTAGCCCTGGTGTTTATTCTTCCAGCAGCCTGGGGCTCCTGGAAACAGGTCCCTGGCTTACAAAGAGCTACCTCTGATGATTCAGCATCCTCCAGTTACCTGCTTTTCTCTCTGAGAATCATGCTTGCAGACAGCCACATATATTTAATGAGGACTGCTCGCTAAGGGTCAGAAGCGGAGATGGGTGTAATTTGGTACTCTTTAAGGAGTAGGTCTGCCTCTTCGCATGTAAGTCAGATCCTGTCTCTGCTCTGTGCAAAACCCTCCTATGGCTTCCTGTTTTACTCAAGGTCAAAGTCAGTCTTCACTGTAGCTTGCAAGGCTTGCAGAGACCTGTCCCCTCTCTTATTGTCTTCTTCTCTCATTCTGCTCCAGCCACACTGATCTCCTTTGCCCCTTGCCACACTGACCTGAGAACAAACCAAGCCTGCTTTGGCCTCAGGACTTCTGCACCTCTTGTTCGCTTGCTGGGCTACTCTTCCCTCAGACAACTGCATGGCTCACTCCCTCACCTCTTACAGGTCTTTCTTCAAATCCCATCTTTGCAGCGCAGTCTTCTTGACCACCCCATCTAAAATTGAACACAGCAGCCCATCCCCACATACATATTCTTATATTCAGAAAGAGACTGAGTCAGGTGAGAACATGTGGACTCAGGGAGAGGAGCATCACACACTGGAGGCAGTTGAGGGGGCGGTAGGGGAGAGACAGCGGGGGTGGGGAGGGTGAGGAGGGTGGGGAGGGATAACATGGGGAGAAATGACAGATATAGTATGCACCTAAAATAAAATAAAATAAAATAAATTTGGAAACCATCATTCTCAGCAAACTGACACAAGAACAGAAAGCCAAACACCACATGTTCTCATTCACAGGGGGGTGTTGAATAACGAGAACACGTGGACTCAGGGAGAGGAGCATCACACACTGGGGGCAGTTGGGGGGTAGGGGAGAGAGAGCAGGGTGTGGGGAGGGAAGGGAGGGTGGGGAGGGATAACATGGGGAGAAATGACAGATACAGTATACACCTAAAGTAAAATAAATAAATTAAAAAAAATAAAAAATAAAAAAGTAGACTGGAAGAGGGGGTGTCCACATACATTGGTGCACAGAACTAGGGGTTCTGCCTCCATTGCTCATCTGTTTCTCTGTGTGGCACTTTGAGCCTGCTATTCTCAGAACTATTCTGCAGATGAATAAACAGAGTCCCCATGTGGTAAAATAGTATGTCCCAAGATCCCAGGGTGAGAAAGGGGAGACAGGACTAGCCACATAATTTGCAGGGCCCAGTGCAAAATGAAAATGTGGAACACCTTGTTCAAAAATTAAGACTTACATGAGAACAACAGCAGAATGTTAAAACAAGTGTGGGTCCCTTTCGTGACTGCACAGGCTGCACGCTCATGAAGCCAGCCCTGAGTGGGAGAGCTAGGCTCCAACTCAAACCTCACTGATTTCCAAGTCTAAACTTTGTCTTCTTATTCTGACTCTTGGCAGACATTTAGTTGCAATTTCTGATGTTCTAACTTTTTACCTTCATTTAAGATTGTAATATCCTCAGGGTCTCATGTCATCCTGAGGAGGACAGACAAGCAGATGCAGCAGAAAAGGTGGGTTCTTCATAGACTCTCTTGTTTCAGGCATTGTTTCAAAATTAATCAGGAGCTAAGAAAACTTGGAAAATTCCTCCTTGAGAGAAACTCTTCTGGGAACATGGAGAACACACGTAGGTGCTTTGCTTTGGTGTATGTGTGTGTGTGTAACCTGATTTACAGCATAGGCAGGCTTCGTTTATTATTTTTGTTTCCTGAACTAAAGTGAAGCCCCTCTCCTGCTCCCACTGAGATTCTGCATATTGTGCCCAGGGTCCTCAGGTCTTCGGTCTTGCATCATGACTGACCTTTGCCCTCAGACACAAACAAAACAGATGTGGTGTTGTGGCAGCTCTTCAGTTGCTAATGTTTCCACTTAAAAATCCTGGAACATCTTCAATTGCTCACCTCCTTCCCTCTGCCTCCCTGTAGCTACTTTCCTGCAGCTTCCCACTGGCGGTGGACTGATCTGATGGGGTCCTGTGGAGAGCAGGTACTTTTCCTTCTCTTCTCATCAGAACCACTTGGCCGAGAGCCAGTTTCAGGCTCGGGTAAGCCTCTCCCTCAGAAGATAGTTTGGAGTCAGAAAGGAGAGTTTGGAGTCCATGCAGCAGATTGATTTACTCTATAGCTAAAAGTGTCTGGGCTCATACTGTGGTCCCTGATCAGCCCACTGTTCACTAGAACAAATGAAGAAGTGAGATGTGAGAGGGGTCTTTGGCATTTTGTTGAGGTAGGGGCTGAGGGGTGAGGAGCCCTTGAGTTGGGTTATTGCAAACACAGTCTTGGAGGGTGTGATCTGTGCAGAGTTTAGGTTTCCTCTGAGCCAGGAAAGAATTTTGCATGATCTCAGTTTCTGGTGGTGATTATATCAGCTAGAAGAGAAGCGTCAGTACTGAAGTGAACATGGCCAGGCAGAATCTAGAGGGTCTCTCTTGATCAAAAACAAAACAAAACAACGGCATGTCTGAGTGACCCACGGGCCCACACAGGCAAAGTGGAGAGTGCTTGGGGCTGGCAATTCAGGCCACATTTTTATTTTTCCTGTTGACTACATTCTCCCTGACCTTCCCCCTTCCACCTTCCCCTGTTCCACCCTTTCTCTTCCACCTCCTTCCTTTCCTCCTCTTTTCTCCTCATCGCTGTCTCTCTTCTCTCTCCTCTCCTCCCCATCTACTTCTCCCCCTCCTTCTCTTATTCACACTTTTCCTCCTAGTCTAAAGCCCAGGTTCTGAACAATCCAGCCTCCTAGACCAAACCCCTTTTCTCTAACGTCCTTCTGCAAACACCAATTTCAACCACTAGGGGGCACTGCTCTCTTTCTCTGCTTTGGAAGACTCCAGAGTGTCTATAATTCGGTTCACTGAGACGCAAATGTAATTCAAATGTACTTTATTCATTACAATTTTAAAATGTGAACGGGAGCATTTCTGAAAGATGGGTTGCTATAGAAGATGGGTCGCTTTGGAAGATGGTTTGTTCACCTGTGGTTCAGAATGGCTTTGAATGTGGCCCAACACAAATTTGTAAACCGTTTTAAAACATGAGATATTTCCTTTTGCGAATTTTTAAAGCTCATCAGCTATCGTTAGTGTTAGTGTATTTTATATGTAGCCCAAGACAATTCTTCTTTCAATGTGGCCCAAGGAAGCCAAAACGATGGACACATCTGCTATAAAGTTTAAACTACAACAAAGCTTGACGTCTTAATCTTTAGTCAAATATTTTTAATAGGGTAATTAGAAATTGTTAAGTATGTTTTGAATTACATTAACCTATCTTCATCTATCTGCCTGTTTATGTCCTCCCATTAATTAGTTCTTTAGGTAAGTACTTAGCAAGCATCTGCCATGTCCATCTCTTATGTGCTAGACACAGAGCTAGGCCTTGGAGACTTAACCAGCTACAAGAATATGGTTTCCATTTTAGTGAGCTTGTGGCCTAGCATAGAGATAGGAGTTAAAGGCGCTATTGTCACAAAATTGCCTTCCCCTCCTCACCTTGCAAGGCCCTCGGTACTAGGACACTTACCAGTGACTTCTTGTGTAAGAGCAACTCACAGTCACCCTGCCTCCCATTGTATGGTGAAGCCTTGGGAGGCAAGAAGTGATTAGGTCTTATCCACCTTGACCCCCTACAGCTATCCCAAGACAACTACAATGGCCATGATTAAGCTTACGGCTACAAAATCATTACCATGAAGTGCCAGGTAAGTGAGAAACAGTGCAACACAAATGATCACACATCAAAATAGTATGGGAGACTGAAGTTTAAATCTTGGCTTTCCCACTTAATGGTATGTGATCCTGGTCATTCTTGGTGTGTCTAAGTCTCAGCTTTGCTTATTTATAAAGTGAAAGCTAATAATTCCTAGCCTAAGGGTTTGTGTGAGAGATAAATCACTATTAAGTGATATGTATTGAAAATGCTTGCGTTTCTGGAAACACACGTAAAAACCTATAGGGATTAATAACACAGGTTTCTGCCCTAGAGCTAAGTGGGCAGTGGATGGTAGACAGGGTAGTACTGAAGGGTTTCAGCCTCTATGATAGAAGATGTTTTAGAGTATACATTTTCAATTAAAAAAGGAGTGAAGGCCGGGCATGGTAGCTCATGCCTGTAATCCCAGCACTTTGGGAGGCTGAGGCAGGCAGATCACAAGGTTAGGAGCCTGAGACCAGCCTGGCCAACATGGTAAAATGCTGTTTCTACTAAAAATACAAAAAATTAGCCAGGCATGGTGGCATGCACCCCTAGCTACTCAAGAGGCTGAGGCAGGAGAATTGCTTGAACACAGGAGATGGAGGTTGCAGTGAGCTGAGATCGCACTCCAGCTTGGGCGACAGAGCAAGACTCTGACTCGAGAAAAAAAAAAAAAAGGAGTGACAACATTTATCTGGGTAGAGACAGGAGTTAGAAAAGCCTTCAAAAGTAGAAGTAATACTGCATTGACTGTTCAATGAATGTTAGCTTTTCAGCTGGCCATGGAGTTGAGGGGGAGAGGATGGGGTAAGGGTGAGGATGGCATGGCCTCCAGGCAGAAAGTGCAGTGTGTGAGAGCCAGGTGGGCTTGCTAGCTTGTAAGCACTCAGATGGTGCTGGCCAGGTGGCATGCAGAGAGAGGTAAGACTGGAGAGGAGACAGGAACAGTGAGTGCAAGGCCCCTGCTGACCTGCTAGAGCTGACTGAAGGGTTTAGGCTTCAAAAGGATGTGACAAAATACTCCTGCCTTTGGTGGTTGCTAATGGTGAGATGCAGGCAGGGAGAGCCAATAGTAGGTAACTGCAGTTATCTAGGAGAGAAATAATATGTCCTGAAGCAAGGTATAAGTAGCTTTGATGGTGAGAGAAAGGCAGGTGTGAGAGCAATTAAGAAAATTGATGAGATCTCTGCACACCCATGTTAATCATAGCGTGTTCACAACAGGCAAAATATGGAATCAGCCTAAGTGTCCATTGAGAAATGAATGGATACACACACATCCATACGTGCGTGCACACGCATGCATGCAAACACACACACGCACACACTCACACACACACACACACAGTGGAATACTATTCAGCCACCAAAAGAAGGAAAACTTGTCATTTACAACAACATGGAAGGGCCTGGAGGGTACGATGCTAAGTGAAATAAGCCAGGCCCAGAAGACAAATACACTGATATCACTTATACATGGAGTCTAAACACGTCAAACTCAGAAGCAGAACAGAATGGTGGTTATCAGAGCCTGGGGGGTATGGTGGGAACAGAAAGATCTTAGTTAAAGGTATAAAGTTTTAGTTAGACAAGAGGAATACGTCCTGGAGATTCACTGCATAGCATAGTGACTATAGTTAATACAGTGTAATGATAGAGTAATAATGTATTGGATACTTGAAAATTGCCAAGAGAGTGGACCTTAAATGTTTTTGCCACAAAAAAGTGGTAACACGTGAGTTGGCGGGGATGTTAATTAGGTTAATTTAATAAGTCCACTATGTATACATGTGTCAAAGCATCACATTTTGCACACAAACATATACAATGGAAAGAAGGACTTCACCAGGCTCAGCAGCTGATCAAGCGTAGGGATGGAGGGAGAGGCTGCTGTGTAGAGTGCTGCGGCAGTTGCTGTGTTTCCCACCTCACGCTCCTTCGTGGGGCCATCCTCCAAAATGCCACGAGTGCCGGCTACCAACAATGCATTGCTGCATCCTCTTCTGGAGAGTCTGCCTGGCCTCATGAGCACCCCCTTGCTGGAAATGCCTGGGAGGTCATGTACCCCTACCAGGGCAGGCCATGACCAACATGGGATCCAAAAGCCTGGCCCCTGCCTCGGTGTGAGACAGCTGTACCGTTTGTGTGCCTGAGTTCCCTCGGGGTCAGGCTGGGATTTGGCTTCTTCCATAGCATTTTCTCAATGAATCACTTCCCACTTCAGGCTTCAGCAGCTGGATGGACTCTGATGTCCTTCAGGATGGGGAATGGGGGAGGAGAAGGCCCACTTCTGTCAACTTCATGGATGGAAATGAAGTGTAGCATGAGTATTTCCCCCACAGAATGCTTTCATTAGACTCGTGGAGCCTGCAGAAGAAACCGCTATCTGCAGTGTTTATACTTGCAGTCGGTTCTCTGACCAAATGCAAATGGACAGTTTTATCTTTGACACTTTGAGAAGATGGAGCAAGGCCTGCATCAGTGTCCTGCCTCTGTGGTGTCAGTGCCTGGGTAGCAGCACTGGCCTCATACAGGCCTCTAGTCAAGTCCTGCCTTTGCCATCTGCCAGCTGCGCGACACTGGGTTACGTTACTTAGCCTCCCTGAGCTCTATGTCCCTGATCCCCCAAAGAGGGAAACAATAGCATTTAACTCAGGTGATAATCATGATGACTAAAAGAGATAATACATATTTGTGTTTATAATGCAGGCTGGAATTCTGTAAGTGCAAACCAAACCAAACCAAACAAAACAAAACCAAAAAGGCAATTCCTACAATGGATAACATAATGCTTTGACAACAAGGATGCCCGTCTGTGATTGTAAATTTCTCAGGTTTAGATTTACCTCATCGAAGTCAGCAATGATCTCATTCAGCAAGCGCAGGCATTCCACTCCCTGGTTATTCATCTCAGTCTGAGAGTAAAAGTCCGCAAATCCTGGGATGGAGGCAAACATCACCCCAACAGCATCATAGGATTGAGAATATAGCTCCTGGACAGAGACACATAGAGGGAGCCAGAAATGGTCATTAGAGGTCAGTTCTGCAATGATGCTCCCTGTGTACACATGCGTGTACACATATGCACGTACACACATACACAGGCACCCACAGAGAGACAGAAAATGAGGCTTGGATACTGTTATGTCAATACTGAGTGTCTTAGTCCGTGTGAGCTGCTGTAACAAAATACCATAGACTGGGTGGCTTATAAACAACAGAAATGTATTTCTCACAGTTACGGAGGCTGAGAAGTCCGAGATCAAGGTACTTGCAGATTTGATGTCTGGTGAGGACTTGCTTTCTGGTTCAGACACGGTGATTTCTCACTGTGTCCTCACGTGGTGGAAGAAGCAAGGCAAGTCTCTGGGACCTTTTAAAATAAGGGAACTAATCCCATCCATGAGGGCTCCCACCTTCATGATTTAATCACCTCCCAAAGTTCCCACCTCCTAATACCATCACCTTGTGAGTTAGGGTTGCAACATGTGAATTCTGGAGGATCATGAATATTCAGTCCATTGCACCACAATTGCAGCATCAGCACCACATGGAATGTGATGACTGAAAATTCACGGTCTCCAGCCTCAGCTGGGCCCTGAGTTCTGACTGCCTGTTCTTTCGTTCTTGGTCAGCTTCCTTTTCTTTTCTCCTCTATGGCTAGTCCAAACCCTCAGCTCTCCTCTTAACCCTGTACTCTATTTCTCTCAGTAGATGATCTTACCTTTCTACTTCTTTGAGAAAATGGGGGTGGCTCTTGGTGATGACTTACTTCTGTTCCAATCCTCATACACCTGTCTGTTACTCACTTTCATCTCTTTCGCTTCAACTCCAGATGATGTGTCTGTCTCTCCTTCTCCTGCTGAAGGTCAGCACTTCTATCTGAGATCTTGATAATTTTATAACTTCTTCAGCAGCTTACTTTTTCAGTGATTCTTTCTTATTTGTTGCTCCTGGCCTCCTCTCCCTGCTCCTCCTCATCCTATAAGAGTCTCTTCTAAGAAAAAGAACTCAGTACCCTGGATCCTGCAGACACTTGTGACTATCAACCAGCTTCTCTTCCTCCTTGTTTTCAAATTTCTCAAACTAGTTTTCTTCACTGCCTATTCCCATGCTCTTAATGCCCATTGGCATCTCAGGCTGGAATGAAAGGAACGAAGAACAGTCTAGCCTGCCAGTCAAAGTGGAAAAATCAATGTACACATGTAAGTTTACATCCTGCTGGACACCTGCAGACTGGTGTTTTCATTGATCACCCCAAGATATTGATTCTCTTGACTTTTTATGCTTTAGTGATGTCCTTTGCTTTTCTCTTGCCTGGCCCCTTTAAGGAAGCCTTTTTTTTTTTTTTGCTTCTCTTTCACTTTAAATATTGGTGATTGCTATGGTTCTGTCCTTGGCCCACTGAATGGCTCAGTTTTACACACTTACATGGTCCATCTCTTTCAGTCCCAGCCTTTTCAACACCCATGTGCTGACTGTTTCTAAATTTCTATGTCCAGGTCAGTTATCCTTCTTTGACTTCAAGCTTCCATGTCTCAAGCTGGTTGCCCTCTTCCTCCTCCAATCACAAATTCCATAAACCTAATGCATCTTCCCTCCAACCAAGCCTGTGTCTGCTGCATCACTCTCGAATTCACTTGGTGGCACCAGCATTGCCAAATCATCAAAATCAGAGACCTTAGAGTCATCCCGACTCCTTCCCCTTCTTCAATAAATCGCCAAGTTCTGCTGGGTTTGTTTTTGTTTTCTAAACATGTTTTCTCCTACCACTGTGTGTGTATGTTTTAAAATCAGACTCTTCCCATTTTCCTTCTTGATCACTAACATGAGCGCCTCCCACTGGGTTTTCTGACTCGTCTTGTGCCATTCAATGGTATCTTTCACAGAGCAGGATCAAACAGTAACTTTAATAGTGTATTAAAGATACACTATTGACCATGCCTCTCCCGATCTTAAATCCCTCCAATGGCTCGCCATTGCCCTCAGGATAAAGCTCACATGCCGAAGCATGACATATATGCATGCCCCTGCCTCCACCTGTCTCTTCAGCTTCATCACCTGCAACTCCCCAATTGGGCATGTGCTCCAGAACACGGAAGCATTTGTACTTCTGTGTGCATGTGGTGTCTGATGCTTCAGGTGCTCTGCCTGTAGCCGCTCACCCACCGTTCAGGTGTCAGGCCTTGTGTTTCTTTGAATGGTGTTTTTCTCTGGCCACTAGAAGGCACTCTGCCCACATGAAATGCAGCCTTGTGAGGTATCAGGAAATTACCCTTCAGAAGCAGCACTTGACCAATGCCCATGGGAGCTGCTGGATGGTTCCGGCTCCCTCACCCTTTGGGCCTGATAACTTCGAGGCATGCTCTCATACCATTTCCCTGAATTCCCCAGTGGGTTTAAGCACCAGTCACCCACAGAGGTAACTAATCTGATGATGTATCATTTATCGGTTGCCTTCCTTCTCATTTTCCCATCTACTTGCGTTTACTTGGACCACCGCTGAGTAAATTACTTACATTCAAATCTTTGTCTCAAGGTTGGCTTTTGGAAGAAGCCAAACAAGACACAATCCCTGTTCTATTTCACACTTAAATGCTTTTATTTCTGCCATCTGTCCCTTGGTGGGAAACGTTCTACCTTCCCTGCAGTTAGCTTCCTTTACCAGGCCAGCTCTTGTTTTCTGCCTCCACTAACCATTTAGAGACCACGACTTCCATAACCTTCCCAGACCCACAGAGGGGGTCTAGAGGCTGCACTTGGTGCTCTGCAGTGATCTCAACAATTCTATAGTATAGCCCTTGCCGCCTGCATTGCTGTCTTAACATCCATTTCTTCCTTTAAGTGTGGATTCCAGGAGGGTAAAAACCACATGTCATTCATCGTATCACACTCCAATTATATATCATGTGATTCGTAGATTTTGGATGCCTACAGTATAATGCACACCCTAGACAGTCTGGTCCAAGGTAAATACTCAAAACTGTTGGTTGACTAATGACTTCCTGACCTTCATAGGAAACATAAAAGCTTACACATTGCTTTCGTATGAATCCAATGATTTAATCCTTGCAATAATTCTGTGAAGTAGTATGATCACTGTTTCCACTTTACAGATAGAGAAAATGAGACAGAGGGGAGTTAAATCATTGTTTTGGATCACACAGCTAGTAGTGGAAGAAACAGGATTAGAGGACTTCCAAGGCCTTTCCCTGCTCTACGCATATGAGTGTGTGCCTCCTGCACATGGCATGCCCTAGGTCAGAGGAAGACGGTGTCACTGATTCATCAATTGATCTTGAACTTTAAGTGTGGATGAATCTATACTGATGCCTTCTTTAGTTCTCATCCAAAAGAGCGCAGGCAGCTAAAGAGTGGCTGAGTAGGGCTCAGTGGGGTGGGAGGAGTACAGATAGCAGTCAAGGAGCAGAGCAAAAGTAAATGGCTTTCAAAAGTGGATTTCCATTCACCTTGGCTTTGAACAGTGTGTTGATGCCAGGAAGGAGCCTGACTGCAGTAGGACTCAGAGAACCTGCTTAAGTAAACGTGCATCCTCCTAATGACTGCGGTTTGGTAGAAAAGTCTCTGTTTACTCTATTACCTGTAGTATTAGTTTGCTAGGGCTGTTGTAACAAAGCACCACAGACTCAGTGGCTTAATCAACGGATGTTAGTTTCCTCACAACTGTGGAGGCTGGAAGTCTAGGTTTGAGGGGTTGGCAGGTTGGTGTTGTCAGAGGGCTTTCTCCATGGTTGCAGATGCCATCTTCCCTGTGTCTTTATGTGGCCTATCTTATGTTCTAGTCTTCTGTTTCTATGAGGGCACTAGTCATATTGGGATAGGTCCCCCTAGTGACCTCAATGTAACTTAATTACCTCTTTAAAGAAGCTGTCTCCAAATACAGTTACATTTTGAGGTCCTTGGGGTTAGGACTTCAACATCAAAATTTTTGGGAGACCTAATTCAGCCCATTACACCTATATTTTTATTTCCTGCTTAAAAATAGAGAAAAAAAGAGAAGACACTACCCTCCAAAATTCATTGCATAATTATGCAGTTCAGATCCCCTCCCACTTCAGTTTATGCCCTGTGATGTAAATGCCTCCCGTGGCCAGGGGTGTCTTAACAATTGCTTGTCTCTCTGAATATTCTAATGAATGTCAGCTCCTCCCACAGTCTTTTGTTTTGTTTTCATTTTTGTTTTCTTGAGACAGAGTCTAACTCTATTGCCCAGGCTGGAGTGCAGTGGCGAGATCTTGGCTTACTGCAACCTCTGCCTCCCAGGTTCAAGTGATTCTTGTGTCTCAGCCTCCTGAGTAGCTGGGATTACAGGCACCTGCCACCACACCTGGCTAATTTTTGTATTTTTAGTTCAGATGGTTTTTGCCATGTTGGCCAGGCTGGTCTTGAACTCCTGGCCTCAAGCAATCCACCCATCTCGGCCTCCCGAAGTGCTGGGTTTATTGGCGTGAGCCACTGCGCCCAGCCTCATGCCCTTTTCCTTAGTTTTATTTCTCAGCCTTTCTATCATCTGAAATATTCTGATTGCTTAAATAATAAAATAGCAATAATAGTATTAGCCACGTTTTTGAGCACTTACTATGTGCCAAGCACATTGCAAAACATTGCACATGCATCATCTCATTTAATGCTCACCTTAACCCCATGAGACAGACACAAGTAAGACCCTTATTTAACTTATGGGAAACTGAGGCATGCAGAGGTTAAATACTTTACCCAAACCCCACAGTTGTTATGAGGAAGAGCTGGAATTTGTACCTAGATAGTCTGACAACAGCCCATGGTACTGTTAATAATAACTATAATTATAGCCACAATAATAGAAATTAATAATAATAATGAAAAGCAGGAAAAAATGTCGTGGGAATCGGAAACTGGTTTGGGTTTGTCCATCGGGTTGGATGGTTGATTTCACAGTAAAGGGGTAAGAAAGAACACTGAACTTGAAGACATATGACCTGAGTTCAGATCT